TGACCACGAACAAACAAACGAACAGGCCAATATACTTGCGATTTATTTTCACAAGTTATATGCCTATAATGACAAGAAGAAAGTAAGAATGATCAATAAATCTCTCTATCTGTCTACTTTTCTCTCGAATTCTAAATATATATTTTCATCGTTACGCATGGTGTTCACCAGTGCCTTTCTCTATTACAAGAGTTACTAAAAAGGAACCTGAAACTGAAAAAATTACATTTACACAGTCATTTTGCTGGCGGCTTTCGATTTGTTGGTCGCGGATAAAGTATTAATGTGGATTTGAACTTCTTCAATGACGTATCGCGTGACGCCACCTGGTCATTCCGTGGTAATTATGTCCAGTAGGAGGGTTGATTGACCGTACCACTGAATGGTCACTCCAGGTAGAATGGACACGTCCATTCATTGGCCATCGATCGGGATAATTAGCCAAACGTCAACAATTGCCCCTATCTGTAAACATCCCTCCGAGAATGACCACGCTTACGATGGGTTAATTGTCAACTAATTACTTCAGTAAGCGCTTGGAGCTGAGGGAGATTTTATCAAGAATGGTTCTTTATATTAATGGAGTTCCTGTATGTTCTTTTATTTTCAGAAATATTTATCGTTTGTGTTGTATTGTGTTAATGGCATTTCTCAGTCAATCGGGTGTTTTTATAAACGCATATTTATCATCACTTCATTTCTGCATTTCTATGGTTTTTGATGTCGTCAGGGATAGAAGATGAAGAAAATATTCGTATGTCCGTGGACGTTCCTTTTCTTCTAAATGGGTTTCATTAGCGCCGCGTTATCTTATCTGTATTGCTTGGCAAATGGGGAAGTTTCATAGTTTGTTTTTGTTTTTTTTTTGTTTATTTAAGTAACCTGTGCTATAATGCAAGTAATACAGATACATTATTTTTTGCACCCAGCCCCAGTGGGCTTATAAGTCACTATTTCATTTATATTATTCTAATATATTTATTATTTATTCTAATATAATAATATATCATTCTAAAATATTAATGTTTCATAGACAAGGCATTTTGCTCATCACGTAGTTAACAAGAGCAGAAGAAAAGATGAAGAAGGAGAATAAAAAGAAAGATTCCGATGTCATTCACAAGTAGAATACGCATTGATTAGATTGAAGTGTTGCAACATTGCTTAAAGGGAGCCAGTGCTGAAATGTGAAATATACTCCGTTATGAGAACGAAAATTGCAAAATAAACAAATACAACACTTTTTTGGTGCTGTCTGGCTTTATCGTAATACCCCGAGCAAAAAATTATAAATTAAAAATTCTATGCATTTTAATTTGGTCTCCCCCAACCAGTTGCATATGGTGTCAGATCATTAAAATGAGAAATAAAAAGAAGTTTAAAATGCTCTGATTCGTTTTTTAAACATTATCTGGACGCTGTCCACCAAGGCGCGTGCTTGGGCTACGATACCTTAATGTCCCAAGAAGTAGGTGCACAAATATCATCACGGTAGACATGATACAATTCCTTAAAACACCATAACATTGACTAAAATCCCGTAATCCGCATACAAAAGAAAGAGTGGAGAAATAATACTTTTAATGCCTATTTTATTAATAATGCACATCTTAATTACCGCTCGCGACCTCTGACACGGGTCTTGATAAATGCGCACCGAGTCACCGAACCAAATCTGTTGCTCGTTGCGCCATCTTTCGTAAGCGTGTTTAATTATTAAAGGAAAACAACCGTTTATGCTGTGATCGTTTTAGGCTCCTGATTGCGGATCAGTTCACAGCGTTCAGAAATGTCGATTCACATACTTATAGTCAGGACAAATTAACGATCAATTAAAAGAAGAACAGTTTAATTACAGAAGAAAAAGACACGCCAGCGACTCAAGAAGAAGATAAAGACACACGGTTATTACTGTTTGTACGATAAGATTGATCATGAAAAGATAATCTTGGACCATGGTGCATTGAAACACCACCCCCAATACTCCCACCCCCTCACCATCCACTCCCACCAACGCTCCACCCCTGATAATGTAACACAGCAGTTTACTACGTGCATAAGTTTTAACCACCGGTGTCCCATGATTGAAACTAGTATCCTTTTGCTGAATGTGTCAAAGTTATTTAGATTACTTTTTTTGCTGTTAAATGCACAGGAATAATAAATAAATAAAAGATATATTATGAAAATAGCAGACCAACTTTTGCTTTATATCAACTTGCGTATTGGAATTTTACATTTATTCTTTCAAAATTTAAAAACACTTGGTATGACGAAACAGTCTGACTGATAATAGCTTTTTTTGCTGTGTCACTAATAAACTTAATAGGAATTTACAGTCCATAGCTTCATCTGCTTAATAACTTTTACTTTTTCCTCGAAATAAATAATAATTCAGAAAGATAGAAACACACATTCCCCCCCCCCCGCCTTCTCTCAGCATGTTATATAAAGAATTTCTGAAGAGATTCCTTCAGGTAAGGTCGGCGTAATAACTAAATCTCCGTTAATGAACTTCTTAATCCCCCGATAATCATACAGATTAAAAAGTTAGAGGAGGTCGCCGTTTTTTTATTCCGGATATTACAATGCAGAAGATAGAAAAGGCATTGAAAAAGAGCACCATTCGCCAATAATTTTTAAGGACCATCAAAGACGCTGGATAGAATGCATTTTGGTTGAAAATATAAAATTAGGGATGAGTGATAATACTGCGTCGTACTCATGTACGCACAGTGTCAAATTCCCCCTCGAAAACGGCCCACCGGCGAAATTTAGATATTAGAGATCAAAGCAAAGCTGTGTATGAGTCCGTTATAATCCCCAAATGAAAACAATGAGCTCGAGCATCCAGAATAAGGCGCAACGGATTACTGGCAGGTAATTTTGTGAGGCCTAATGAACAAGGGAAAGGCACAATGGGTTGCGCAATGGATCATGGGAATGTTGCACAACAGGTGCGTTGCTCGGTGCGTCATGATCGACCGGTACACTAGCATGTGTACAAGTAATATCAAATATGCTGTGGTGTACCGATGAACAAAACAAAGTATGAAGTGCTGATTTATGTTTATTTCCATTATTTTTGACATTCATGAATGTGGACACTAGAATGTAAAAAAAAAAAAAAAAAAAAAAAAAAAAAAAAAAAAAAAAAATCATCCTAGTGCCCTTTTCTTTCAATTTTCTCCCAGGCCTCAGTTTCACAAAGAATCTTAAATCCATAGTTGACTAGGATGTGTACGTGTCCATGTAACGTTGGTTACAAAGATGTTAGCCAGGAAACTGACTTAAGGTTTTTGAAACTGGAACCAGGTCACCTGCTATACCCGTCTCACCCTATACCTTATGCCAGGCCAGATATGCAGTGTGAAAACTATAAAAGGCCCGTACCCGTAGTTTGACCAATCATATATCATGACGATACTTTCTTCACGTGTTATAATAATATGTAACGCGGGAAATTGAATTTTATCGATTCTTCTGCAGTAATATATATAAAAGCTATTTATTTTTGAAAATGATCAAAATTGTCACGATAGCAGCCTTTGAACACTTAAGCACCTAATGCATAAGGAACGGCCGTCGGAGCGTGCATTGTGGTAGTTGAGATAAGTTTGTTGTTCCAACACAATGTACTAGATGGACCGCCTGGACTTCTAAGATAGTCCGTGTCCATGGTAAAGCAGCATAAGCGTACTTGTTAAAAGGATAATTTATGGTCTTTTTATCAATAAAATCTCTTTCACCAATTCCATAACACTGAGCTTTAAAATGCAATATAATTTGGCTCTGTGTACAGAGGGACCACTAAAAACCTTTTAAAGTGTAAAGAAATACAGCACTTTATTCCGCTTTATAACTGTTTATTGTGGTGAATTGCATTGTCTTATTCAAAGAGAGCAACAAACATCACTGATATCTTGTTAGTTGTAACAGTGCTGCCCTGAGTTTTTTGCGTCCTTATTCAAACACAAGACCGGCGAAAGGCCTTGACCCAGGAAAAGTTTACTCTAAAGCTTGTCGTGTGACTGCAAACAGCAAATAAAGATAGGCCTCCGCCCATTTCTGATAGGAGCCTCCATCTCACCCAAGAGAGCAAAGTATCAATTTCACGCCAAATTCTCAATGTGTATTGAAAAAGAGGCTGTATTACAGAGGCGTGTATGTTGACTGCTCAATATGATATATGTGTGGTCAAGGGCACGCCATATCACAGAACGAGGGGTCATTGTAAGCTCATCGCAGATAATTCTGAGTCACGTGCATAGTAGTTCATGACTCGCATATAGAGCGGCGTCCTATCATTCTGTGACATAGCAGCACAACGTTGGAACGGTTTGCGGCTACTTCACTTGCTTTGTTGGTTTCTGCAGACAGTCCCGTGCTGAATTCACTTCACCATGTTGAAGATTGTGGGCGTGTTCTTGGCGGTAGTGGGCGTGGTCGCCTGTCATCTGTGCCTCATCAGCCCCCCGCAGAGAGGTTCCATGCTTGGTCTGAACAAAGCAGGTGAAAACAACAATAAATTCGATTACTACTATTAAACTATCTTAAAATTCTGTTAATTTTCACGCACGATTTATTTTTTGATGAATCATTTAGTTCTTCTGAATTGTTTGTGCATGCTCTGAATTTTTAAGACAAAATCCGCAGCTACCATCTTTTTTTGAAGCTTATTGATGATGACATTAAGATTCATGCAGACAGTAGATTTTAAGACCAAGACTGATTATAATTACTAGCAGTTATATGTTTAATATATTACGATCGTAGGCGATAAGTAAATAATCAAAACTCCGCAGAAACAAGCTCTTGCGCATTCTGTAAAATAACGCAACTCAAAATAATTATCTCGAGAAAAACTCATGGGACTATTTTTCTCCGGTATTAGCTGCAAGTTATGAACCTTGCCTACCTTGAATAGTGGCGTAATTCAAATAAATTTCTATTTTATTTTCCAACGTATCCGAGCTACTCTTAGTTCTTGTATCCATACACTTTGGCATCTATAGATTTAAAATAATATGTGTCTATTTTGATTTATTTTCATTTTAATGATCATATTACCAGCATCTCCTGACTGCCTCAGGTTGACACCGCCGTGTGGGGGAGTTAAGCCAGTAGAGCCGAACATGATGATCAGGTTAGCAAACATCTCAAACCTTTTAGATAAAACAATGTTTAAGAATCCATTACGAGGATCGTTTTCACATAAGTTCTCGGTCTCAGCTTTAGACGGCTCAAATCGGATAGCCGACTGAGGAATTTCGACTTTGTGATATTGGTTGGAGCGAGATATTACAGAGTGACTTGTCCACAGTAAATTTACCTTTGCTCTGAAGTAAAGAAAATCTAAATCTAATTTATTAACCAGGCCGTAAGTCACGTTTTGCGTCCCGATGTCACGTGACTTGTCTCCAACCAACACGAAGTTTTAGAACCGGTTTCGCACAAAAAAGTAATTAAATTGATAAAAGTGTTTATTATTTCTGAATTTTATATTTTTCCAAAAGCTATCAACCCTACCCAAGCCTCTAACCGTTGTATTTCCATTCCATGTTTACAATTGTTTTGGCTTCAAATGTTTCATCGTATCTCATCACTTTATCGGGGAGTAGATAGGAATTTATACGGTAACGGCTCGATCATTTCGACTTTACATTACCATAAGCTTTGATTGCTCAAGAAGTTATAAAGAGAAGGAGTAGAAACAAGGGGTTTCCTTTCATCCTATCCTCGTAACGGGCTTAATCCTAATAATTACCCAGCTTGTGGTCTTAGGGAGAGCTTGTGCCTAATACATATTCAAAAGACCGTTCACGTGGGTTGCTTCAGCCAATTGGGATAAAGCCTCGCGAAGTCTCTAATAATCTCACAGAGAAAACATGGTGGGATTACAGAAAGTTNAAAAAAAAAAAAAAAAAAAAAATTAAATAATGACCACGAACAAACAAACGAACAGGCCAATATACTTGCGATTTATTTTCCCAAGTTATATGCCTATAATGACAAGAAGAAAGTAAGAATGATCAATAAATCTCTTTATCTGTCTACCTTTCTCTCGAATTCTAAATATATATTTTCATTGTTACTCATGGCGTTCAACACTGCCTATCTCTATTACAAGAGTTACTAAAAAGGAACCTGAAACTGAAAAAAATTACATTTACATAGTCATTTTGCTGGCGGCTTTCGATTTGTTGGTCGCGGATAAAGTATTAATGTGGATTTGAACTTCTTCAATGACGTATCGCATGACGCCACCTGGTCATTCCGTGGTAATTATGTCCAGTAGGAGGGTTGATTGACCGTACCACTGAATGGTCACTCCAGGTAGAATGGACACGTCCATTCATTGGCCATCGATCGGGATAATTAGTCAAACGTCAACAATTGCCCCTATCTGTAAACATCCCTCCGAGAATGACCACGCTTACGATGGGTTAATTGTCAACTAATTACTTCAGTAAGCGCTTGGAGCTGAGGGAGATTTTATCAAGAATGGTTCTTTATATTAATGGAGTTCCTGTATGTTCTTTTATTTTCAGAAATATTTATCGTTTGTGTTGTGTTGTGTTAATGGCATTTCTCAGTCAATCGGGTGTTTTTATAAACGCATATTTATCATCACTTAATTTCTGCATTTCTTTGGTTTTTGATGTCGTCAGGGATAGAAGATGAAGAAAATATTCGTATGTCCGTGAACGTTCCTTTTCTTCTAAATGGGTTTCATTAGCGCCGCCATATCTTATCTGTATTGCTTGGCAAATGGGGAAGTTTCATAGTTTGTTTTTGTTTTTTTTTTTGTTTATTTAAGTAACCTGTGCTATAATGCAAGTAATACAGATACATTATTTTTTGCACCCAGCCCCAGTGGGCTTATAAGTCACTATTTCATTTATATTATTCTAATATATTAATTATTTATTCTAATATAATAATATATCATTCTAAAATATTAATGTTTCATAGACAAGGCATTTTGCTCATCATGTAGTTAACAAGAGCAGAAGAAAAGATGAAGAAGGAGAATAAAAAGAAAGATTCCTATGCCATTTACAAGTAGAATACGCATTGATTAGATTGAAGTGTTGCAACATTGCTTAAAGGGAGCCAGTGCTGAAATGTGAAATATACTCCGTTATGAGAACGAAAATTATAAAATAAATAAAATACAACACGTTTTTGGTGCTGTCTGGCTTTATCGTAATATCCCGAGCAAAAAATTATAAATTAAAAATTCTATGCATTTTAATTTGGTCTCCCCCAACCAGTTGCATATGGTGAAAGATCATTAAAATGAGAAATAAAATAGAAGTATAAAATGCTCTCATTCGTCTTTTTAACATTAACTGGACGCTGTCCGCCAAGGCGCGTGCTTGGGCTACGATACCTTAATGTCCCAAGAAGTAGGTGCACAATTATCGTTACGGTAGACATAATACAATTCCTTAAAACACCATAACATTGACTAAAATCCCGTAATCCTCATACAAAAGAAAGAGTGTAGAAATAATACATTTAATGCATATTTTATTAATAATGCACATCTTAATTACCGCTCGCGACCTCTGACACGGGTCTTGATAAACGCGCACCGAGTCACCGAACCAAATCTGTTGCTCGTTGCGCCATCTTTCGTAAGCGTGTTTAATTATTAAAGGAAAACAACCGTTTATGCTGTGATCGTTTTAGGCTCCTGATTGCGGATCAGTTCACAGCGTTCAGAAATGTCGATTCACATACTAATAGTCAGGACAAATTAACGATCAATTAAAAGAAGAACAGTTAAATTACAGAAGAAAAAGACACGCCAGCGACTCAAGAAGAAGATAAAGACACATGGTTATTACTGTTTGTACGATAGGATTGATCATGAAAAGATTATCTTGGACCATGGTGCATTGAAACACCGCCCCCAATACCCCTACCCCCTCACCATCCCCTCCCACCAACGCTCCACCCCTGATAATGTAACACAGCAGTTTACTACGTGCATAAGATTTAACCACCGGTGTCCCATGATTGAAACTAGTATCCTTTTGCTGAATGTGTCAAAGTTATTTAGATTACTTTTTTGCTGTTAAATGCACAGGAATAATAAATAAATAAAAGATATATTATGAAAATAGCAGACCAACTTTTGCTTTATATCAACTTGCGTATTGGAATTTTACAATCAAATCAAAATTTAAAAACACTTGGTATGACGAAACAGTCTGACTGATAATAGCTTTTTTGCTGTGTCACTAATAAACTTAATAGGAATTTACAGTCCATAGCTTCATCTGCTTAATAACTTTTACTTTTTCCTCGAAATAAATAATAATTCAGAAAGATAGAAACACACATTCCCCCCCCCCCCCCCCCGCCTTCTCTCAGCATGTTATAAAAAGAATTTCTGAAGAGATTCCTTCAGGTAAGGTCGGCGTAATAACTAAATCTCCGTTAATGAACTTCTTAATCCCCCGATAATCACAGAGATTAAAAAGTTAGAGGAGGTCGCCGTTTTTTTATTCCGGATATTACAATGCGGAAGATAGAAAAGGCATTGAAAAAGAGCACGATTCGCCAATTTTTTTGAAGGACCGTCAAAGACGCTGGATAGAATGCATTTTGGTTGAAAATATAAAATTAGGGATGAATGATAATACTGCGTCGTACTCATGTACGCATTCCCCCTCGAAATCGGCCCACCGGCGAAATTTAGATATTACAGATCAAAGCAAAGCTGTGTATGAGTCCGTTATAATCCCCAAATTAAATGAAAACAATGGACATCCAAAATAAGGCACAACAGATTACGTGCAGGTTGTTTTGTGAGGCCTAATGAACAAGGGAAAGGCACAATGGGTTGCGCAATGGATCATGGGAATGTTGCACAACAGGTGCGTTGCTCGGTGCGTCATGATCGACCGGTACACTAGCATGTGTACAAGTGATATCACATATGCTGTGGTGTACCGAAGAACAAAACAAAGTATGACGTGCTGATTTATATATTTTTTCATTATTTATGACATTCATGAATGCGGACACGAGAAGGTAAAAAAATGTTAAAATCATCCCAGTGCCTCTTCCTTCGCCCAGCCCTTCGTTTCACAAAGAATCTTAAATCCATAGCTGACTAGGATGTGTACGTGTCAATGTAACGTTGGTAACAAAGATGTTAGGCAGGGAACTGACTGACTGAAGTTTTTTTTTTTGGAACTGGGACCAGGCCTCCTCCATACCCGTCTCACCCTATACCTTTTTGCCAGGGCAGATATGCAGTGTGAAAACTATAATAGGCCCGTAGTTTGACCAATCATATATCATGACGATACTTTCTTCACGTGTTATAATAATATGTAACGCGGGGAATTGCAATTTATCGATTCTTCTGCAGTATTATATAAAAACGGTATTTATTTTTGAAAATTATCAAAATTGTTACAGAAGCTGCCTTTGAACACTTAAGCACCAAATGCATAAGGAACGGCCGTCGGAGCGTGCATTGTGGTAGTTGAGATAAGTTTGTTGTTCCAACACAATGTACTAGATGGACCGCCTGGACTTCTAAGATAGTCCGTGTCCATAGTAAAGCAGCATAAGCGTACTTGTTAAAAGGATAATTTATGGTCTTTTTATCAATAAAATATCTTTCACCAATTCCATAATCACTGAGCTTTAAAATGCAATATAATTTGGCTCTGTGTACAGAGGGACCACTAAAAACCTTTTAAAGTGTAAAGAAATACAGCACTTTATTCCGCTTTATAACTGTTTATTGTGGTGAATTGCATTGTCTTATTCAAAGATAGCAACAAACATCACTGATATCTTGTTAGTTGTAACAGTGCTGCCCTGAGTTTTTGCGTCCTTATTCAAACACAAGACCGGCAAAAGGCCTTGACCCAGGAAAAGTTTACTCTAAAACTTGTCGTGTGACTGCAAACAGCAAATAAAGATAGGCCCAGCCATCTCACCCAAGAGAGCAAAGTATCAATTTCACGCCAAATTCTCAATGTGTATTGAAAAAGAGGCTGTATTACAGAGGCGTTTGTGTTGACTGCTCAATATGATATATGTGTGGTCAAGGGCACGCCATATCACAGAACGAGGGGTCATTGTAAGCTCATCGCAGATAATTCTGAGTCACGTGCATAATAGTTCATGACTCGCATATAGAGAGGCGTCCTATCATTCTGTGACATAGCAGCACAACGTTGGAACAGGTTGCGGGTACTTCACTTGAAACTGTTGTCTTCTGCAGACTGTCCCGTGCTGAATTCATTTCAACATGTTGAAGATTGTGGGCGTGTTCTTGGCGGGAGTGGGCGTGGTCGCCTGTCATCTGTGCCTCATCAGCCCCCCGCAGAGAGGTTCCATGCTTGGTCTGAACAAAGCAGGTGAAAACAACAATAAATTCGATTACTACTATTATACTATCTTAAAATTCTGTTAATTTTCACGCACGATTTATTTTTTGATGAATCATTTAGTTCTTCTGAATTGTTTGTGCATGCTCTGAATTTTTAAGACAAAATCCGCAGCTACCATCTTTTTTGAAGCTTATTGATGATGACATTAAGATTCATGCAGACAGCAGATTTTAAAACAAAGACTGATTATAATTACGAGCAGTTATATGTTTAATATATTACGATCGTAGGCGATAAGTAAATAATCAAAACTCCGCAGAAACAAGCTCTTGCGCATTCTGTAAAATAATGCAACTCAAAATAATTATCTCGAGAAAAACACATGGGACTATTTTTCTCCGGTATTAGCTGCAAGTTATGAACCTTGCCTACCTTGAATAGTGGCGTAATTCAAATAAATTTCTATTTTATTTTCCAACGTATCCGAGCTACTCTTAGTTCTTGTATCCATACACTTTGGCATCTATAGATTTAAAATGATATGTGTCTATTTTGATTTATTTTTATTTCAATAATCCTATTACCAGCATCCCCTGACTGCCTCAGGTTGACGCCTCCGTGTGGGGGAGTTAAGCCAGTAGAGCCGAACATGATGATCAGGTTAGCAAACATCTCAAGTCTTCCATATACCAGAAAGTTTAAGAATCCATTACGAGGGTCGTTTTCACATTTAGACGGCTCAAATCGGATAGCCGACTGCGGAATTTCGACTTTGCGATTTTGGTTGGAGCGATTATTTGAAACCGGTATTAAAGAGTGATTAGTCCACAATAAATTCACCTTTGTTCTGAAATAAAGAAAATCTAAATTCTAATTTATTAACCAGGCCGTAAGTCACGTTTTGCGTCCCGATGTCACGTGACTTGTCTCCAACCAACACGAAGTTTTAGAACCGGTTTCGCACAAAAAAGTAATTAAATTGATAAAAGTGTTTATTATTTCTGAATTATATATTTTTCCAAAAGCTATCAACCCTACCCAAGCCTCTAACCGTTGTATTTCCATTCCATGTTTACAATTGTTTTGGCTTCAAATGTTTCATCGTATCTCATCACTTTATCGGGGAGTAGATAGGAATTTATACGGTAACGGCTCGATCATTTCGACTTTACATTACCATAAGCTTTGATTGCTGTACCAGTCGTGGCAAATGTTTGTAATTGAAATTCAGATTAACATTGCAAAGTTCAACTTTATTTATTGTATGTATACTTAATTTAATAATATTTTAAAGTTTATGCTTTGAATGCGTAAAATTTTATAACCATTTTCTACCTTGTCTTTTGCTTTGACGGCGGCACCATTGTCGAAAGAAGGTTTCGGATGAATATTTATAATAACTTCTGCATTTATATCTGCAGCATTTATATCAACACCAAAAAGATTTGTAAGACACAGCGGTTTATCTGTAACACTGGTCAATTTCAATTTGAGCAGGAAGTTGAAGCAGATTGAGGTGTAATTAAGAAAAAATATATTCATTTTGTATTCGTTGTTATGAAATTTTGTATGTTATGTTTTTAATGTGATAAACTTTCGTTTCTTTTCAGAGATGGGATGAACTACACTGTAACTTTCCAGAAAAATCTCGATCACTATTTGAAGACCTCGCCGGTAAGACTAGCCATTGCGTTAGGTGTGACAGATTGGTTGCGCGAGCATATTCTACGATTGTTTTAAATGTGACCAAGAGAATGCCGCTAAGTCATTCATGAGACGGAATCCTTTGCTGACCGGTTTTACAATACGAGTTCAGTCAAATCAGTTTGTCATTAATTTTTAGTAGTCTACGTTGCGTGTCAAAATGTTTTAGTAAAAGACCGCTTACCGTATTCAGTCTATGAGCTAGCTAACTACTTTTATAATTAATTGATCACCAACGAAATCTGCCCCAATTATAGGCCTAATATGACATATCTTGAAAATTTTATCAAAACACTTCCATGTGCTTTTTGTGCTGTTGTTGTTGTTATTATTATTATTATTATTATTATTATTATTATTATTATTTAAAAGCTGCTGGATGTTTCTTGTCTTCTCGTTTTCAATCCACATTCGGGTTGTTTTCTTAGCACCTATTTCGTTTTGTCGATAGAGATACTTCGAAATCTCCATAGAAACGACGCCTTTGTCTATGAACCACATCCGAGGCTTTGCTGAATTGTCTCCTTATATTTATTGATATTGGCATACCTATATTGTATCCACAGGGCCATTTTGACATCGCCATAGGTACCATGGCCGTGTCTCCGAACGAGAATGACACCATCATTGATCTCGTTCGTATCATGGACAGAGGAGAGCCTTCCCTTCACCTCTACACCATCAACGTCACCATTCCGAGGAATGAGTAAGTAAATAAACGAATAAAATTTACCTCTTTCCCAAGACTATAAATTTGCCTACCCCAGTTCAAGTTCATTTAGATTACTTAAGTTTTTTATTTTTATTCACTTATTAAATTGGGTACTCAATATGTTTAAATGGTTCATTTTAATATTCTTAAGATAACAAGATATGAAGTTATAATAATATTTATTTTTTATTTATCTATTTTACAGGCATGGCCATAAGTTGCGTTACATACAGGTGAGTACGTTGTCTCAAACAATTGTGAGTTGCTGTCTCTGAAAGCGAAAAAAAAGATAAGTAATAACATAGATACACTTTAAATAATATTTCAAACTCGGTGTGCTTTCTAATCTAGCTCACGAGGAATGTTCTCTGTGCTCATTCCCAAATGAAACTATCGGTCTACGTAGAGCGATCCAACTCCGCGGGAACTCTTAATGAATGCAATCAGATTAACAAAATAACACGCTTCCTCCTGGCATTGAAAAGAATGCAGAAAAACTGGTTATTATACAAGTACGTGGAAAACAAGAGAAGGCGTGTTAATCTGTAAAATTGATTGGATTCAGCGAGAGTCGCCGCGTTATAAATTGATCCACGTAGACCGATAGTTTCAAATAAATCTGCTTTTCAGTTAGATATTATTCAACAATTTATATATTTTTGCATTTGTCCATATTATAACTATATTCTATTACTTTTCTAGTTGTTTATCTACTTAATAAATTTTATTTTTGAGAGCAGGACGCGGTAAATATAATCTTCCTCATGCGTCTCATTTGCTGAATAGTTAATGGATTTTGCTATAGTTTACATTGCAAAAGAAGTAATAGATTTTATTACCGTTAATATTCTAGGTACGTTACACTACGATGAACCCCAGCGCTCCAGCCGTATTCTACCAGTGCGGGGATTTCTTCATCTTTCAATAATAGCAAAGACGATCAGCGTGACTCTCTCTCTGATCAGGATTTTGCCGATCGATTAAAATTCCTAATCGGAAGAGGCAGCTACGAAAAATTGTGTTTTTTTTGTGCATCATGTGTCTTATACGTAGCTGGAGACTTATTTGGTATTTGGATAAACGATATAAACGGAGATTTCCTATCTCTGTAACGACAAAGCAAATAAACGTCGGTTAAGTATTTTCGTTTGATTAGTTCCGTTTAATTATTTTCTCTTAATTATGGCTTCCGTTTGAAACAACGGGTAAAAGGGCAGTTGCCATTTTTAAACCAGAAGAAGGGTATTTCTTTTTCCTCACTTACGTAAGCGACTCAATGTATGTCAACAAAATATTTTTTGTTTGTAGAATTATAACATGTTTATCAATATGGACGGAATCTGTCACTTCGTAGCGAGATCTATCTGTGGTTAAAAATTGAGAAGTTTAAAATCTCTCTTTTCNTGCATTAAACATGAATAAATCAAGACGTATACGCACTGGTTCAGCTTCTCCGTCTTGAGTCACGCGGAGGCGAGCGGAGGATTAGACCAGTTACGAGGATCGAATTTCAAAGGACGCCGCTTTGAAAAGAATGCTGCGATCTGATTGGACGAGAGAGATAATTGATGTCCCGTTTCTACTCCTTCTCATTATAACTTCTTGGATTGCTGTACCAGTCGTGGCAAATGTTTGTAACTGAAATTCAGATTAACACTGCAAAGTTCAACTTTATTTATTGTATGTATACTTAATTTAATAAGATTTTAAAGTTTATGCTTTGAATGCGTCAAATTATGTAACCACTGTCTACCTTGTCTTTTGTTTTGACGGCGGCACCATTGTCGAAAGAAGGTTTCGGATGAATATTTATAATAACTTTTGCATTTATATCTGCAGCATTTATATCAACACCAAAAGATTTGTAAGACACAGCGGTTTATCTGGTCAATTACAATTTGCTCAAAGCAAAAAGTTGAAGCAGAAAGTTGAAGCAGATTGGGGTGTAATTAAGAAAAACTATATTCTTTTTGCAATCATTATGATGAACTTTCGTATGTCATGTTTTAATGTGATAAACTTCCGTTTCCTTTCAGAGATGGAATGAACTACACTGTAACTTTCCAGAAAAATCTCGATCACTATTTAAATACCTCTCCGGTAAGACTAGCCATTGCGTTAGGTGTGACAGATTGGTTGTGCTAGCATATTCTACGATTGTTTTAAATGTGACCAAGAGAAGGCCGCCAGGTTATTGATGAAACGGAATCCTTTGCTGACCGGTTTTACAATACGAGTTCAGTCAAATCTGTTTGTCATTAATTTTTAGTAGTCAAAATGTTTTAGTAAAAGACCGCGTACCTTATTCAGTCTATGAGCTAGCTAACTACTTTTATAATTAATTGATCACCAAAGAAATCTGCCCCAATTATAATATAACATATCTTGAAAATTTTATCAAAACACTTCCATGTGCTTTTTGTGCTGTTATTATTATTATTATTATTATTATTATTATTATTATTTTAAAGCTGCTGGATATTTCTTGTCATCTTGTTTTCAATCCACATTCGGGTTGTTTTCTTATCACCTTCGTTTCCATAGAGATACTTCGAAATCTCCATAGAAACGACGCCTGTGTCCCGAAACCACATCCGGGACTTTGCTGAATTGTCTCCTTATATTTATTGATGTTGGCACACCTATATTGTATCCATAGGGCCATTTTGACATCGCCATAGGTACCATGGCCGTGTCTCCGAACGAGAATGACACCATCATTGATCTCGTTCGTATCATGGACAGAGGAGAGCCTTCCCTTCACCTCTATACCATCAACGTCACCATTCCCAGGAATGAGTAAGTAAATAAATTGAAAAGATTAACATATATCCCAACAAAATAAATTGTGCCTACCTCAGGTCAAGTTCATTTATATTACTTAAGTCTTTTTTTTTTCGATTTTTATTCAGTTATTAAATTGGGTACTCAATATGTTTAAATGTTTCATCTTAATATTCTTAAGATAACAAGATATGAAGTTATAATAATATTTATCTTTTATTTATCTATGTTACAGGCATGGTCATAAGTTGCGTTACATACAGGTGAGTACGTTGTCTCAAACATTTAGAAGTTGCTGTCTCTAAAAATGAAAAAAAAAAAAAAATAGTAATAACAGAGAAGCGCTTAAATAGATAATGTTTCGGACTCAGGTTGCTTTCTAGTGTTGTTCACAATGAATGTACCCTGGACTCATTCCCTATGAAAATATCGGTCTACGTAGAGCGATCCAACTCCGAGGGAACTCTTGATGAATGCAATCAGATTAACAAAATAACACGCTTCCTCCTGGCATTGAAAAGAATGCAGAAAAACTGGTTATAATACAAGTACCTCGGAAACAAGAGGAGGCGTGTTAATCTGTAAAAATTACAGGATTCAGCGAGAGTCGCCTTGTAATGAATTGATCCACGTAGACCGATAGTTTCAAATAAATCTGCTTTTCAGTTAGATATTATTCAACAATTTTTATATTTTTGCATTTGTCCATATTATAACTATATTCTATTATTTTTCTAGTTGTTTATCTACTTAATGAATTTTATTTTTGAGAGCAGGACGCGGTAAATATAATCTTCCTCATGCGTCTCATTTGCTGAATAGTTAATGGATTTTGCTATAGTTTACATTGCAAAAGAAGTAATAGATTTTATTACCGTTTATATTCTAGGTACGTTACACTACGATGAACCCCAGCGCTCCAGCCGTATTCTACCAGTGCGGTGATTTCTTCCTCTTTCAATAAAAGCAAAGACGATCAGCGTGACTCTCTCTCTGATCAGGATTTTGCCGATCGATTAAAATTCCTAATCGGAAGAGGCAGCTACGAAAAATTGTGTTTTTTTTGTGCATCATGTGTCTTATACGTAGCTGGAGACTTATTGGATATTTGGATAAACGATATAAACGGAGATTTCCTATCTCTGTAACGACAAAGCAAATAAACGTCGGTTAAGTATTTTCGTTTGTTTAGTTCCGTTTAATTATTTTCTCTTAATTATGGCTTCAGTTTGAAACAACGGGTAAAAGGGCAGTTGCCATTTTTAAACCAGAAGAAGGGTATTTCTTTTTCCTCACTTACGTAAGCGACTCAATGTATGTCAACAAAATATTTTTTGTTTGTAGAATTATAACATGTTTATCAATATGGACGGAATCTGTCACTTCGTAGCGAGATCTATCTGTGGTTAAAAATTGAGAAGTTTAAAATATCTTTTTTCAATGGCCTCAGAAATAAAATTATAATTTCCCAACCAATACCTCATCTGTTTACAGTCGGGTTTCATCAGACATTGCAGGCAAAGAAATATAGGCTGGTAGGTCTATATTATCAGTCTATTACACAAGCTATTGGAAAAACAACGTCTACGATTCTACAGAAATTACACAGCTGATTATACTTAACAACATTAAAGACGCTCTACTTGAAATAACACTACATGTCTCTTTGCGAATAAAACTGTAATTACTGTTATTTGTGTGATGTCTTATCTTATCTTTTCTTTCATTTTGATTTTCAAGCGATGGATCCTGTTACAGGATTTTTGACTGAGCGTTGGTCTAGAGATTTAGACCGGAACTTGAGTCAACTTCGGTTCAGGCGAACTCTACGATGCTCCAATAAAATAGAATATTTCTTTCGTCTTAAAAAGAAATAATTCCTTATAAGCTGATCACAACTTTATCTTAATAACTGACGCATTATTGCATTTTATAAAACTAAAACTGGACTTTTAGCTCGGACCAAAGTGGACTAACATTTTTTTCTAAACTTTTTTTATGAATCCGACCCACCGTCTCCTAACCTCTTCGTTTATCAGGTACAGTCTACAACGCCTTCATAGATATGACATTGAAAAGAGATATGCTGTACAGAATGATTTATCCTCCTTAATCGACAATGTATATTTTGATTAACGATAACTGACTGTAACTACGTCATACGGCGGTGAATTCTACATTTGATTTTTGATTCATCAGGCTTTCAGCTGGAAGAGTGAGGGTCAATATATGGTACGGATGTCAACCGTATTAGTAAATTAGAACAGAATGGACCAGTGTTCTTAATGGACAATCATCCCTGTCACATTCGCTTGGCAAGAAATGAAAGCTCTGCAATCTGATCCTTGCACTAAGGTCACGTTCACAGCATTAAGGTTAAGCTTAAACGGCTCCGATATTTAATTACTAGGCACTGCAAGGATGGCGCACCTGTTGTGAATGCGACCTTATACTTAGAATTTTAATAAATTTACATTTACTATGATAATGACAATGAAGGGAGATTTTGCCAGTTTTAAGAGATGTTGCTCTGTCTACTATGCTCTCATTGCAGAAAGATATCCTTCTTCGCTCTTGGGTAAACGGAGGCAGCAGCAACATGCTTACAGCAGAGTTTCTTTTGTCTCCTTATTCCTAATAAAGATAAGTAAGAACACATACCAAGTGAATGATGGCAAATGATGATGATGATAGCAATAATTATAATTAACGGCAGCGTCCGAGGCACTTTACGACAAAATTCAACTTGGCCGTAATTGTTCAAGTATGACAATTATCGATAGGTTCCAGGCAACAAGGCGACAGTTCTTGCTGATAGAATCAGAAAGGAAAAAAGTGATTTCCTGGCTAAGGGGGCGAAATAAATTTGCTTTGAGAATATCGCGGTCGTTGACATGCGTGGATAGTCGTTTTGTCACAAACAAATTAATAACATGGATGTGGAGATGACATAAAGAAAAATAATACTTAGAATCAAGGATAATCTGACTATGCCTGTCACGAGAGCACGCACTCTGTGCTTCTGTGTCTTTTATGCTCCGAGGTCGCATTTACAACAGAAGTTGATCCGTGGACTAACTGATCCGCACATCAAATATGGCCGACCCCTTGAAAGCTAACCGCCCAATCCCCGCGGGGAATCTATTCATTGTTTATTAGGGAATTTTGCAGCAAGCTTTCAAGTAGGTCGGTCATATATGATCCCCTGTTCTGTTAGTCCACGGATCAGTTTGTTCTGAATAGGCCCTCAAACCCCATTTCCATAGACAAACAATCAGTCTACGTGGCTCGACCAAACTCTGCGGGGACTCTAGCTGAGTGCAATCAACTTAACTGAATAACACGCCCCCTCTTGTTCCCATCGTACTCGTATAATCACCAGCTTTTCTGTATTCTAATAAACGCCGAGAGGAGGCATGCCAATCGGTTAAACTGATTGCACTCAGCTAGAATCCTCCCAGAGTTGGGTCGATACCATTGGTGTCTAAGGGCCCCTTTACACTGGACGGCGTCCTTTCTGCGTCCAGCAGTACGGCCCTATTTGAGAGTTAAAAAATTATAATACTTTACGTGCCGACAACTGGCCGACCATTGAACATTCATTCTGATACAGAATCAATGCCCGTGCCTCCTTATTAAGACCACAGCGATGGCAAATTTCATGGTCGCAGAAAGGACGCCGCCCAGTGTAAAGGGGGTATAAGGGAATGGGTTAATGGAAAAAGAGTTTACAATATCTGTTGGTTGAGTTGGAGAACCTGTCTACTCCGGACTTGGGCTATCCCCGCAGGTGCTGGACAATATATTTTTCTTCTACTTCCACACGCATACTCATGAAGATACCAATATATCTCTTTTACATTAAACGCTATCCCTCCATCAAAGTTCATTTAATTTCCTCTGCTTAAAATTTCTTCCTTTCTTCAAAACTCCGTTAATTTCCTCTCACAGAATTTTCCTCCTTTAAAGCTCATTTCTGAACTTTAAGTGTTTCAGAAAAAAAAGATATCTTTGTTCTTTAGCCTTCTGCGCTGCTCCTACTTAATCAAAGACGCATCTCCCGTGTACCATCATTAATCCTTATGATTGTTTGGCTTTATTCCAAGAAATAATCGTCTTTTTGAGTTAGGTTTATAATAAAGCTTTCAAAGCACGTCAATCTCACTTTGGGAAAGTATAAAATGTAAAAAGTACCGGGAAAAAGCCGTTGCCAGTTTGTCTGTCCGCGTGAGTGTGTGTGTGTGTGTGTGTGTGTGTGAGCGTGTGTGTGTTTGTGTGCATGTATGTGTGCGTGCGTGCGTGCTTGTGTGTTTGTGTATGTATGTATGAATGTATATGTTTGTGTGTGTAAGAATGAGAGAGAGCTGAGTAGGAGGGGCTTATAAACACTGAGAAAAGAAAATAGTGGCAGGAAGAGGGCGGGGAGGGGGTGGGGGTGCGGAGCACTTAGACTCCTGCTCCTGCGAGCAAGATAGACTTAGGCTGTATTCCCAGAGCTTTTAGATCGATCTACCCCCGCGGGGAGTCTCACTAGATTACTGTCAGATAATCCGGCTTAAATGTCCGTCCCGCCTACTACAAGCTGTAAGGGGGGTAATTAACTTTCGTGTCCGCTCGGCTGACAGCTATTTAGCGTGAACCCCTCTGGAAATGGGGTCATAGCTGAAAGAAGTGAGAGGATTAGCCTATGAACCCCCCCCCCCCCCCACGACATGTAGCCATGTGATTATTGCAGGCCAGATCATATAATTGTCAGAGCTTCAAAATGAAGGCAGGTCTATTACTATATACAGGACATAGCATAATATAAAGGTATTGGTTTTATTTGCAATAATATCGTTGGTTTTATTTGCGGAACTCCTCGCCCTACATCTTCAATCAAATTCCACCAAATTCCAAACTACGGACCCACTGATACATGTACTATGTCGATTTTTTGCCACTCACAGTATTAATCTCCATACAAGTTTGGTTTTCATTTGAACTTCTTTCAGTTGAATCTAATAAAATAGAGATCATCAAGCAATAATATCTATATTATCTAAATAAGATTGTATTTCTGATTATATGGTAAAAATTGATTACTTTTTTGCGTTTAGACACTGATTCCATTGATTCTGCTAACTACTGTATTGAAAAAAAGTAGGGATTAGAGATACATTTTGGTTAGAATCCTGTGACAGTTTCATCTTAACCTCATTTAGGTTCAAATGGGTTCTTTGAAAGTGTGCATTTAATTTTTCCCGAATATTTTTCAATATAGTTGCTAACGTGTTGCCTTCAGACTTCAGTTTCATGGCCTTCTCTTTGAACATGACCCCTTGCCGCGGGCACTTTATTCAACGCAACTTCTCGAGCTGAGCCATCGTTCTGTCACTTATCAGTAGATTTATTCCCCCAAAGACAACCTCAAGGCAATTACCGCACCAATCAATCGTGAGCCAACATGTCTGACGGAGAAAAATACTCTCATTCTTCCCAGTTAATCACCTCGTTTATTGAAACTCCGCACCACGCATTGAATCACCGCGTGCGTCGGATGTCAAGGTTTTCACAAAAGCAAGTTTGAACTTGCAATTTACTCAAGTGCCGTTTTCAAAAAAGTACCTAGAAAGAAACCAAAGGAAATAGGTATGAGCTACACGCAACTAGGTCTATTTTGTAATGAGTTTTCGTATTGTCATGTTCGCGTGTCAGAGAAGAATTCCAGGTGTTATGCAATCACCAACGCCTGGAAATTTTCCAGGACCTGTTTCTGAAGCAAATGCAAGCGAACTATGGTTCCCGAGTTAATAACGTAAGTGCATATAGGAGTGCGTGCAAAATTGTCGTTCAGAAACAGCAGGTATTAAACAGCATGCAATTGCAATACTTGGGAAGGAACGGTAACAAATGCCCGTAAAATACTTAATAGTCATGGAACACCAAAGACCGATCACTGTCTTATAACAGAGAATTATACACATCAGAAATGTATAACCAGGGCAAATGTCACTGGAAATAAGTTTATGTTGGAATCAAAAATGGAAAAGGCCTCAGTAAAAGGAGCATTTTCATTTTTTTTCACCCATTACTTGTTTTTCTTACCCCAACTTTTTCTCATTTCAGGCCCTCCAATTAACAAGGCCATTTTATCTGAAAAAACAACGACAATAACAAATTTATTATGTCGCCTATGATGAGAATATTGAAAGGAACAGCAAAATGGCCTCAATTAAAGGTGCATATTTAGATAACTTAAACTTTGTTTTTATCATTCTTATCATTTTGAACAACAATGCCCGTAAACAAGGAAGCAGGTATTAGATACTGCAAGGGTAAAGGCTTATTAACATTTTCTTTTCGATGGGTCTGGATGGAGCTTATCTAAACGGTTACTAGTTTAAAAAAACTGATTCACCGAAGCAACTTTCTTCAAATATGACACAAAATCATCCAAGGCAAGGTAATGCATAGGGAGACAACACACACGCACACAAACATACACGCAAACGCGACAAACACACACACACACACAAAATGCATGCAAGGACGCCCCCCACACACTCGCAAACGCGCGTGCACACACACACACACACACACACACACACACACACACACACACACGCCATCACCTTACCAACACACATACTTTTTCAGTGAATAGCTGCCTAGCTTGCCCTATGGAATGTACGATCATATTGA